GGTCAATTATTACAGACTGTAACGCGTACAATTTATTAATTCTGGATTAAAAACTGTTTATTCCGCGGGAACTTCAATGGAACCCTCGTTAAGTTCGTCAATAACATCATGAGGGTGCTTTCCGTCAACGGTGCAGCCGACGCTCTGGGCGGTTCCCAAAACCTCCTTGCAGGTTCCCTTCAGTTCACGGGCCATGGACCTGGGCCTCATCACGCGGGCAATGGCCAGAATGTCATCGAAGGCAATGTTTCCACTGTGCTTGACTGTAATATAAGAGAAATAAGGTGTTATTTGACTGATAAACCATAAGCCATGGGTATGGTGCACTTGGGTAGTCGGCTGGGAGCGTTATTGATGTCTTCCTGCACCAAAACTGTGCCCGATGCCAAATGCACTTGGAATCCCAGGATAAACCGTGCAATACTCACTGTTCTTCTGCTTCTTGCGGTCACGTGGGGGTTCCTTCAGAGCCTTGATGATCAGAGAGGCGGCGGAGGGCACCACAGAGATGGCAGCCTGTCGGTTCTGGATGGTCAGGCAGACGGTGATCTTCAGACCCTTCCAGTCGGAGGTGGCCTTGGCGATGTCATCACCAATTTTTTTGGGCGACTGTGGGAATACTTCTGTATTAGCACAGGCAGGTAAACAAAACAAGTTGCATGCTTACCAGACCGAGGGGACCGATCTTGGGGGCCAGGGAAGATGTGGCTCCGACTTCTCCGCCCACACAACGCAGGTACACTGTAAATGGAAATATATTGTTATTTTATGACGACACTTAAGTTTCCTTCTTCAGTTTATTCAGGAGCTTAACTTTCCCGAAACTTACCCAATTTAACTTCCGTGGGGTCGAACTTGGGAGGCATTGTGGTATCTCGGCTTGAACAGTCCCTGTAAAGCAAAGATTGTGTTAGTTTTCACCGATTTTTTTAAAGACATTTTTAGCTCTTGTACTGTACCGGAAAAAGACACACAGAAAAAGAAAGAAGAAGAAAGAATCCGGCAGAGTGTATGAGAGTGGTCGAGCGCTATCGGAATGAAAAGTGACTAATATGAAACGTGGAATTGGAACGAGCTGAACGATAATGGAACTTCTTTTCATTTAACTATTTTCTGTTTATATATTTTCTCTTAAATATTGGTAAACACCAATTTATGCTCTTTCTTTTTTGTATATAATTAACAAAAAAAATCAGAAATGTTCAGCATATCCGAATGTACGAAACACATCCACCATCCGCAACCAGCTGACGTGAGCAGTAGTTGCTCATCAGAACATACACGAAGAGAGCTTTAGCTCGCTATAGTTGTGGACAAATGATTTGTTAGTTTTTCGTTTTATAAAACAACTTATGTTTTATGACAACAGTTGCTGACCGCGGGAGTGCCCAATTTTCCAAACTCTCCCTCACTTGCACTACACCTCTGGTAAACAAGCGTTAATATTGCAAAATGGCAAATAAACCAAAAGGCAATTAAAATAAATTTAAAAATTTTACGAAAATTAATGAGATTGATGAATATATGTGAAAAGAGCAAACAAGCGTTATGGACCTGGGGCCATCAAATTTGGAAAAATCACTTCGTGGAGAATCAGTCGGGTTTTTTCAAAACAAATAGTGTAACAAAATCAAAAATCTACGTGGTACATTTTAATAAATAACTTATAGACCAAAAAATTTTTTAGTACAGTTTATATACCGTAATTTTGTAAATTGAATTTATAAAATTATTTGTTCATAAATTGCTTATTATTCTCGTTTTTAGGTTTTAAATACAAAATAATAATAAAAATACGGGGGCTGCTACTAAAGTTTCTGGCCAAGGTCACTTCTAGTTATATTAGAACCAATCGGCCTTTTCCCGAAAACAAATTTTGTACTTTTATCGATAAAAGCTCTATACATCTTTTTCGATCAATCAATCTCAATCGATCAACGATTAATCAAAAACTTACCTCGGCAGAAAAATGGAATTAACTCGTAAACATTTTTTTTGCCATCCTCATTCACAACTTTCACGACAAGAGTACATCGATGAAGCACCATCCTATAGCACTGTAAAAAACTGGTTTGATGAATTCAATCGTGGCCGACGCTAGCTCCAAGTTGAAGGTCGTGAAGGTCCAAGAAAAGGCGTTGTGCCAGAGAACATTGATGCCGTGCGTGAACTGACAATGCAAGATAGTCATGTCACACACCGTGAGATAGAGACATCCTTCAAAAGACGATATTAAGATCGTCACAGGAATCATTGAATTATATAGACGGGCAAAATCAAAGAAAATGGTCGCCTTTTTGAGCAACGCAAGACGGGCAATTCTGAATGGTACACCACCTGAAGTTTTTCGAAAACGAACAAGAAAAGACGAATCATTGTGTACCATGACATTGCGAGATCTCACACGTTATCCCAAACCAGCACCGTCCAAAACGACGAAATGGTCATCTTTGACACGAAATGAGTCTATTTTCGCACATCAAGGGTAAAATGCGTGGTCAACAATTCAACAAGATGCTGTTAAAGCGTTCAAAAACCGTGTGTATAAAGTATATATATTTTGATGGAGGGTGTTTTGAAATACAATAAAAACTGTTGATGATAAATATCCGCGTTTTTATTGTTAGGCCAGAAATATATATAGCTAAAATCGTTATATAAATTTATACATTAAAACCACCGCTTCGTTTCTTTGGGTTGGTGAACAAAATCTTATTATGGTGCTTCCAAAACGTTGGTGTTTTGTGTATCCCTTTTAAAATCTTTTTAGCGATTACAATTTTAAATGCAACCGTAATGTTAGGTTAGAAACATTCGACCTGCCTCAATAAGTATATGTAAATATACAATTTCCTATTTTCAAATAAAATATGTGTTAAACATCTCCCGAACCCATTCAAACCCAGTAGCATCACCCCATCTGGATCCCGCCCTGTTTACTGTCGGCATGCTATGTGACGCCATTCATTACTGTCAATCAAGCATTTTGTTTACTTTTCCCATTAAACAGTTCGAGTTATGCTTAAAGAAGGCGTCCTATGGCTGAGACAGCATATGGTACCAAAAAAAAGAAGAAAAGTAAGCAGATCAAAATTTTACGGATGACGTTTAGGTAAAAAATTTTATTGGCAAACGTGTATCTTGTTACTTAGTTATTCAAACATGGATGCTTCGAGTTTCTGTTATATTTATTACAATCGTTAGAACCAGATTTAAGATGTAGAGCCAAGTAGCCTATAACAGCATCTTTGAATAAATTTGTTTCAGATGTAAATGCAACAGAAATTTACAGCGACACAATTTGCTTATTTGTCCAGAGCAGTATTGGTTTTAATTGCGATAACACACTCTTCTCCGCACGCCTTGAGAACGGTGCACTGCAAGCAAAAGCAAAAGATTATTAAAATCGATTTTACGGAATAAATGCTAAACGAAACTCACCAGTAAGTCCTTGCCATTGTCAAAATCTGAACGCAATTGTTCACCCAAATCACCGTCTGGAACCTTCAAGTCTTCACGCAAATCTCCACCCTCGGTCATCAATGTAAGGAAGCCGTCATCACTGATAGATATTAACTGGAGGTCTTCCCTTTTAACATTGGGCACGTCCATGTTATGAGTAGATGGGCAAATATCTTCATATCTGTAAAGATGAAAAACAAAATAAGATGTTAGGTATGGTAAGGGGAATTGGCTATTCGCATAATTTAAGCTAAAACCTTTCAGGGAATAGCGTCGCACCGGTGGACTTCATAAATGAATTGATAACTTATTAGTACAAGATAAGATTACTGCGAAAACTTTTTGATGATAATATTCAAGAGCACCCAAGGCGAAGCTTCCTTTGTGGTACTGCTGCTGCGATAGGATATACTCACTTCTTGTTGGAGAAAATATCAATGCCAACCATGTGAACCTTGGCGTGTCCGTGCTTTCCAGTCTTTGAAGTAGACATCTCGACAATCTTGCATGGCCGGGACTTCAGCATGACGAATCCGTTTTTGCGCAACGCCGAACATTGCATGGGATAGGTCACCGATGCGCCGGAATCCGTGGTTTCGAAATGATCGTCCAATTCAGCCATATCTGCCACGCCACAAGAAATTGATTTAATTAATTATTTTGTAATTAATAACGAATTAAATGTAATCACACTTAAACACAAAGAGAGACACAAGCCAGTAAAGAATTCACACAATATACATCAATGTCCTATAGATACATACAGAGGCAGACAGATTCGCACACATGTATGTAAATACGAGTGTGTGCAAGCCGAAAAAATGCATACATATGTATATATGGGCAGGCCAAGCACGGCACCTATTTCTATGTACATATGTATCCAAAATGTCGTATGCCAAATGCACACCCAAGCACTTTAATGTTCAAACATTTAAATTGGCAAAGTCATCGAGACACGGCACTTGAAAGTTGTGTACTGCAGAAATGTACATATGCATATGTGTGTAGGTGCTTTCTTTCGCACATAGTGAATGTGCGGAGGCGACCGGAGCTTAATTCAACTAGCGCCCACTAGTTTTCCAACTGTTTGGCCCAGCTCCAGGCGCCTGTAAACATTTCCGGCGTTTTCCGGTGAATTTGCAAATTTTTAATCCGAAAAAATGCGAAATTACTAACCTACTTGCAAAGTCCAGTGACTGTTCCAACCGAAGATGTAAAATGAAAGAACCCTGCTATCGAATCAAACCCACGTTTTGTTTCCGGTCAATAATAAGAGAGAAACAGTGGTGCATCTTAGCACTGGGAATTTTCAGAGCATTCCACATATGCTTGTTTTGGAAACGGTGGAATTGGAACTCGAGTTAATTCGTTTTGCAAGACCCTAGGTGGCCTGCCAACTCGGCCAGACATAAAAAAGGTAAACAAATAAATTTGAGTATATATTTAATTTTATATCTTAGTTGATTTACCCATTCTCAAAATGTCTACAAAAGTTACAAGCCATATGGGACCAGCCAACGAAAATAAAACACATATTTTATTGGTGCTTAATAATGTCTCTGTAAGTATAAATAATATTTAATATTCCCCTGTTAATTTTCACAAGTTATATGCATGACTTTCAGACTATCGTTGTTTACTGCTGATTTACTTTTTTAAAATATACCTCGATAGGAAGGGATGGTATGAAGTTGTCGTTCTCTAAATGTTTTATTTTTCTGGTGCTGTGCTGCTTCGACTTTAATTTAATTACTGGCTGCCTCATTCTTAGTGTCCCGCTAGAAATAGTCATAATAGCCGATTCTGTCACTAGTTGCGGTTTTTCTTCTGGTACTCCGTCGGAGCGAGATTTTGCAACAGTGTGTCGAATAGCTTTCGTCGAATTTCGAACGATTATATTTTCATCGACAATTATCGATTTTGGCGTGCTTGCTGTTGTTCGGCGCTTAAACTTTTTTATCGATTCGATTTCCTTATCGATTGTTGCGTTTTTTGTTGGTTCTGGTGCTACAGTGGAATTAAAGTGTTTGCGCCGTTGATAAATTCGTTTTGACTTTTTATAATCCACTTTGGATTTATTGGAATTTGTGGAATTCCTAGATATTTGAGCCGGAACTTTTTTAGTCGATGCCAAAACTCGAAGTTTTCTCAATTTTCTGTTCACATTTGTTCTTCTTGTTGTGGGTGTGTGTGTACTAGAAATCGTATCCGGTAATGTAGTATTACTTTCGAAAACAGCTGATGTGGTTAGATTTTGTAAATTCTTTGGCGTTTCTTTGGTCGTAACTAAATTTTTCAGATGAAGCTTCAACAATTTCAATTTAGTTTCAATATTTGAAGAAAAGTTTTTGGTGGCTTTCATGGATTTTAGTCTATGCTTGTAGGATTGTGCTGTAACTTTCACTGTAGGAAAGCTATTTTGTGTTGGTTGTGGTGTGGTCCAAATTTGAAGATTTTGAGGAACCGTAGATGTAGATTCGGTTGTTGTTGTGGTCGAGGTTGTGGTCGAGGTTGTCGAACTAAACCAACTCGGTCTGGTGCTATATTCGAAATCAAAAAAAGTTGTTTTCGCTGGTATAAATTCAGTAGTTGTCGTAGTGCTAGTTGAAATTGGCTGTGTTGTGCGCTGTAATCGTTCTGTAAAGAGCTCTTGAGGACTTTCTGTTGTAAATTCTGCGTGACTTGGGCGAAACTGTTGGTCCTCTATTGGAGATTTAGCCAATTTTGATGCAGAATGAGGTAGAATTACATCGTCAAGTGTAAAGTAGGTATGAGCAACATAATTAAAAAAAGGCAAAGTAGTTGTCGTAGTTACTGGTTGTTCACTGGGCATACTGTGGGAGCTATATTGGTCTTTTGGATAGTCCTGGAACGAGTTTTTAAAGCAGTTCTCTGCGCAATTTGTCCAGCTTTCATTGGAGTAGTCAGAATGATTCCACTGATTCGTAACGCCCATCAAACGTTCTGCCTTTGAAACTGTTCCCGCAGCAAGGGGTACGAAAGCGTTAACGGGAGCTATATTAAAATCCACTGGTGGGTGTACGGGACCCGAAGTATACTCAATTGGGTTAACAGGAGCCGCAACGTAGTCCACTGTGGTAGTAGAAGGTTTGGCAGTGGTTTTAAAACCATGAACGTTGTTCAAGTCCCTGAAGACGCTTCTGGAAAAAAATAGAAAAAGTTACCACATCTGTACAAAACACATAACAAACCTTTTTGAATTGGCATAAGCTTCGTGATATGGAACATGTGAGTGTACATATCTTGGTAACATCTGCATACTACGCATATAGTTTTTCAAGCGCATTTTTCCAACCAAAATAGGAGTCCTATTGTTGTACCAATAAAACTTTCTCATAGCATTTGGATGTTGTCTATATAAAACAATTCCTGGATGATCCATGGACCACATCTATAAAATGATTGACGTTGCACACTTTCGCTTTTCTTTAAGAGTATCCATTTGTAATATTTACCTGTCGTTTTGGTCTCATGTAGGTAGAAGATGCTTTAATATTGACCAGTATATAGAACAATCCTGAGGGAATTAAATTATATTAATTTGAAGGGTCATGTTAGACTCTGGCTCTCGTACCTATTGTCATGTAAATGACAATAATTCGATTTTTCACTTTCCCCAACATTTTGTACGAATACTTTTTACTGCAGACAACTAAAGACTACTAGCAATGGTTTTTCATCCAAATTATTTGCTTGCTGTTTGGGAATTAGTGTGTTGGCAGACTAAAGAGGGAGATACAAACTATGTAGATCATTCACCCTTTTAAAAATATATTATTGCAGTAACATTTTTTTAATGATTTTAAAATACTTTCGTCTCTATATTTAATGTTCCGCTGTAAAAGAGTGTTCTGGAAAAATAATGAATACTATACTATTTAGTACTATTATCTCTCCCTAAGACGAAGTATGAATGATCGTTGCTTAGATAGTTTTCAGATGCTGCGACTGAATGCTAGCGTGTGTGCTATGGTGCATAAAAATCAACGCTTGGACAAGCTCATCTTTTCTGTTATAATTGTAGCAGTCTTATAGTTGAACACACTTTCAAGGGGTACGTCCACTTTCACAAAGAAACAGAGGAATCCTCATGGTAGAGAACGTGTTGATACCCATTGATGTGTTTAAACATTGCGTTATCAACATTCCGTTTGACACATTGTTTATGAGTCGGAAAGATTTCGTGCCTGATTAGTTTTAATTATTTACTAGAATCGCATTCCTGATTAATTATAATTGTTCGGTAAATGTTCAAAAACCATATATAAATATAGGTAATATGAAACTGATAACAAAACGGAGCAAAATGTCGGGACAAGCAGTCAAGGCCTTCATCGAAAATAAAAGGTAGTAATCAGTTTTTTTATTGTTGAACAAAAAATGTAATCTAAAGATTCTTACCATTCAGATTATTATGGATATTTGTGATAATTTTTCTAAGGAATGTAAATTATACGGATTGTACCAGCAGCGGAGTGACAAAGACTTTTCCATCAGTTGGAATATGTCTGACAATGGGCCGTTCAACGGAAGAAGTTAAGGACGCCGTTCTTAGACGTTCTCCCGGGGAAGAACTACCACGCAACTATATAAGAATGATAAAAGATTACCTTTTTGTAAGCCCTAACGACTTTTACCGTGGTGGGGCTCAATATTGTGAAGGACGAAATTCCACATGTGGAGTCGATATTTTAGACATGAGAAGAGAGGTATTGAAATTATTGTTTTAATCAATTATTTGTAAATGATGACTTACCATTTCGGTTATAGTTACTTCCCAGAAAGTGCACGGAGATATTTGACAAAATTTACTTTCGTGAAAAGTTGCTTCCCGACTGCGAACAAATATTCAAGTTTCATGAACTAGAATTGGGTTATTGTTTTCTAGCAAACAATTATATGGACTAGTATGTCTAACAGGATTTAACTTTATATTAAACTTGTCGTTCACTTTTATTTCCCTTAGTAACAGCACCGATAAAATGCCTTTGCAATACTCTTCGTTGGACAAACACCGGAATCTACGATTGGTCTTCCAACCCCCCAAACTATATAACTATGAAGTAAAATCCCAGTATATATGATACCCGATAATTAAATTTTTATTTTTTAGTTGCATGTTCTAAGCAATGAGGATGTACCAAATTTTGCTAGTTCAGGCCCCGGGATAACCTCTTATCAAACCAAACAAATTTACGAAGTCGAGGAGACTCCTAACCGCAAATCGATCAACGAACCAGTTTCTCAACGGCAATGTAGATTTCCAAGTGAACATAGCATCGAGGGAATTCCTTACAGGTGCGTTGTAAGATATGTACTAAATCCTTTTTTGATTTGAAATTTTTTCCGAAGTCATTCGACGTGTGTGGGTAATCGCTTCAGTGAAATGGGGATGGATAAATGCAATTGCTCCGTATTCAGTTATGAAGATCCAAGTTAGTTGGTTACTTCAATCGAAAGGATTTATTTTTTACCGTGTTTGATTTTTTTAGGTTCAAAAAACTTTTGCGGTGTACAGGGATTAATCTGCTTGGCTGAAGCAGAATTAGCTATGAGTGGTAAAATTATTATACATATATATTTTTAACAGAAATAAAATTGGAAGTTATAGAACATATTGCTGCTGACAAGACTTGCTTACCGTCCTGCGTGCATCAAAATATTACACGTATCGGGTAAGCGATAAAATAAATTAAATTGATTTTTTATCACTTTTAATCTTAATCACCCAAAACTTATAGAGACAAAGATTTTGACCTGGAAGGGTATGTGGTCGATATAAAATTAGAATCTCGAAACTAGTTATAATGGTAAGATTTAAATCTTTTTTTAACCGGTTTTTAAGTAATATTTTTTAGCTTTTCCCTTGGTACTGCAATTGTAAAAGATTCTTTAATCACACTTAACCCGTTTTTGATTGAAAATATATTCTGCGCTTTGTATTGACGTGCACATGTTGAATATTAAATATTTTTATACATTTTTATTTAAAACTGTTTTTTATCTTCGGAAAAATCTCGTGCATGCATTAAATCCTCGCGTGCATCTTTTGGTATCCAATTAAAGGATGGGTTATGAATCAAAACTTGCGTGCTGGATTGCGACATATTCATATATAAATGTATACTATATGTTTTTCATGCGCTCTAAATATATATATTTATGTATTTGTTAAAAAGCCATAATCAAAACGGAGCACAATGTCGGGAAAAGCAGTCAAGTCTTTAACAAAATTTTTAATATTTCTGGTTAGTAATAAGAGGTAAATTCACTCAAGAATAAAGATGTAGTCTGTAAACCAATTACAGAATTCGAAATTATTGTTGTAGACTATTTTGGATATTTGTGATCATGGTTTCTGGATGGAACATGGTTACAATATTCATTCTATTGAAGAATAGATATGAAACGGATTCCACAAGTATTGGAGTGTCCACTGCATATAGTCGTTGGACGAACACCTTTCCATCGATTGGAGTCTGCCTGTCGAAAAGTCGGATAAATAAAGAGTTTACAGAGGCTGTTCAGCGACGTTTTCCTGGAAAAAAACAACCCTACACCTATACAAGAACCTTATACGATTACCTCTTTATAACCCCCAATAACTTGTACATAAAGCCGGAATATTGCCCAGACATAAATTCTTCATGTGGAGTTGATATTTTAGACATGAGAAGAGAGGTATATTATTGTTTAATATGACGTATTTTTTAACTATTTTTCGCCTATTTGGTTATAGTTATTTCCCACAAATTGTTCGTCATTTCTTGAAAAAATATACTTTGCGGAAGTATTGCTACCGGACTGCGAAAAAATATTCAAGTTTCATGAACTAGAAATGGGTTACTGCTTTCTTGCTAACAATTTTATGGACTAGTAAGTTTAACTAGTCAAAACTTAACACACAATTTGGATATTACTTTAGATTCTCTTAGTGACAGTACCGAAGATATGCCTTTGCAATATACTTCCCTGGACAAATACCGGAATCTACGATTGGTTTTGCGAAGTGGCTTGGTATATGGATATGAAGTAAGAACCGTAAACGTATGGTAGTTCCTTCAATAAAATTTAGTCGAATTAATTTTTAGTTATTCATTCACAGTCCTGAGGACCTGCCCTATTTTAATGCTATAAGCTATGGAATTTCCGGTGACACTTCGATACATTCCTTCAATGTCGAGGAGATTCACAATCACGAAAATGTCATTGAGGAGCCAATTTCTCAAAGGCTTTGCAAATTTCCAAGTGAAAGTACTATTGAGGGTCTTCCCTACAGGTTAGTTTTGATGAGGGAATTACATATATGAATAGAATTCTTATCATTTTGAACACGTTACCACAGTTTTTCGATATGTATGTCTCTCATCCGAAGTGAAATTGAGATGGAACTCTGCAACTGCACTCTATTTAGCCATAAGGATCGAAGTAAGTTAGCCACTTTAGATTAAACACTTATAACCGTTTTACTTTTATAGGTTCAAAGCACTATTGCGGAGTGGCGAATGTTTCCTGCTTGGAACACGGTAGCTTAAACTGTTTCGAAAGGTAATGTCAGTGGTTTTATCATATTGTTTCAGGAAAACTGGCCGAGAAAGTGAAGAGCTATGTTGGATCTAATATGGCTTGCTTGCCGTCCTGCATGGAACAACAAATTAGTCTTGTCGGGTAAGTGACTGGTGTGATTGGTGGCTGTCTTTCTTATTCGTAATACTATCGCTTTTAGGTCTCGAGATGATAAGAGTAAAATAAGCGAAGAAGAGGGGTTTGTGGTCGAAGTACAAATAGCATCTGCACCCACAGCGAGATATTACAGAACAGTCACCCAGACCAAACTAGATCTAATAGGTAGGGTTTTTGAAATACCTCCTCCATAATTTAAAGAGTCTTCTTTTCAGTTGGAATTGGAAGTGTAATAGGACTTTTCTTCGGGGCATCTTTACTTAACATTTTGGAAATAATCTCATATTTTGTAAAAAAATTAAAACTATGATTTTAGGTTAGAATCTTTAATACACTAATTTTACAACTTCGCAGCGGCTTGCACTTGGGTTTTAATTACACAAATCAATAAATATATGTATTTAAAAAAGGTAAAAGTGTATTTTTATTTCAAATGATGTCAATTTTTATTAAGGAACAAATCTAAGCAATTGTTTCCGAATTCGTTTTCTGAATAGAAGCATTCTTAAAAAGAAAAAGCTTCTCATTTAATTGCAGGACTTTGCTCTCAAGACTGATTTCGATAATAAGATCTTTGCCTGAAAAAATATATGTTGATTTAATCACATCTCCCATATTATTCATATAAACAATGCTCGATATTATAATATGATTTGTATTTCGGATTTTGCTCATTAATACAACATTGTCGGAAACAAATTTCTTATCTACTTTTTTAAAACCAAAACAAAACCGAAAGAATGAAGGGAAAAAAAATCATTTGAATTTATTTCACCGTTTATATAGATCTTTAAGATTAAAGATAGATTAACAAAATACAATTTATATTTTTTGGTGTCCCTAAGCCTTGTTTTTTCAATGTTTGGATACCTCCCACAGTGATTTCTGTATTGTTATTTCACTTGTCGCCTCCGGTCACACTATTTTCAAAACGTAAACAATAATTGATTTTTCCTACAAAACAAAAGTTATTGAAAATGTCTGGAGTAGCTGCTAAAAAGATTGCCGAAGCGGAGAATCTAGTAAAGCAGGCCGAGAAGAGGTACTTTCAAAAATAATTCCTGCATTCATGGACGAGTCTTCGAAATGTTTTAATCTTTGCAGCTTGAAATTGTCTATGTTGAAATGGGTACCTGATTACGATAGTGCTGCCGATGAGTACTCCAAAGCGGGTGAGTGCTATAAAGCTTGTGTGACTAATATTCTCTACAAATATCCACGTACAATAAACAAGTATGTTCAGTATAACGTAACCATAAAATATTATATATTTTGGAGATACACACATACATATTTGTCTACGTGGTTTGGGTATACACATATTTATTGGAAAGCTTGTTAGAGAATGTTCTGCATATGTTAAATAGCCATCAAGTAAAGTTACCATTGGTTATTTAAAATTATATTTCTAGCCACTGCATATCGAATAGCCAAAAGCTATGATAAGAGCAAGGAATGTTTTCTGAAGGCCATCGACTGCTATAAGAACAACAAAGCCTGGTTCCATGCTGCAAAGGCTTACGAGCAGGTTAGCAAAAAAAAAACCAAAATAAATCGCGGTGACAAAGAAATCTCTTATAATAAAATTCGGTTGGATTCAAATCGAATTGATAAAAATATTCAAATTTTCTTTGTTTGAAACAGATTCTGTGTCACCGAGGAACTAATCTGTTCATATCTAATAAGCTTAAGTATCTTTCAGATTATTCTGCTGTCTAAAGATGCTGACAAATTGCACGAAGTTGAGGAGTACGCCAACAAGTCTGCTAATTTGTATCAGCAGCATGGCTCTCCAGAAGCAGCGGCGTCCGCATTGGATAAGGCCGCAAAATTAACTGAATCCAAGCATCCTGACATGGCACTTAGATTCTACCAACACGCTCTGGAAGTTATAATGGTGAGTACTACTTGATGGCATTATTTATTTAATTAATATTCATACCTGACAGATTGAGGATTCCGTCCGTCAAGCAGCTGAGTTTGCATCGAAAGTTTCAAGAATACTGGTGAAACTTAGGAGGTAAGTGATCCACATATCACCTTAACGATAATAAAGTTAATAAGATAAAATCCATCAGGTACGAAGAGGCCACAAACGCGCTCAAAAAAGAAATAAGCCTCAATCAGCAAACGGAATCCTATGGGCAAATTGGGCGGCTAGTTGTAGCCTTGGTAATGGTGCAATTAGCACGCGGTGATTCTGTGGAAGCCGAAAAGACGTTCAGAGAATGGGGAAACTGCTGTGAGCCAGAAGAAGTGGCCACATTGCAAACACTATTGCAAGCCTTTGATGACGAGGACCCAGAATTAGCTGCCAGGATGCTGGCATCTCCATTTATCCGACACATGGATGTTGAGTATGCAATTCTATCCAAAAACATTCCATTACCTCAAGGAATACAGCTAGAGAAGAAAGCCGTGGATAATGCTGGAGTCGTAAGTACCAATATTTAATTATCTCGTATTAAGCAAATTTTACTTTACACACAATGCAAAATAATTTGTTCCGTATCCGATAAAAAATATTTATTTTACTAAAAATTTAAAAAATATCGATAACTGAAATGTGAAAACAGCTGATTTATCCTCTGGTATAATCTTTAAATCTAACAAGAACTTATGCCTTTCTCTTTTAGGAAACCAATGACGCCGAGGACGAAGGGGGTCTATGCTAAATACATTAAAGTTTTTCGGTCTGCTTGTTAGTCAAAATATATTTATCGTTAATAATAACGCTTTTAATATTTAAACTGTTAAATACAAATTTCATCGCAATCGTTGTACTAAATATCTTAAGAATTAAATAAAACAAAGATACGTATTTTGGGATGTTTTAGAATTGGGAAATCATATGTTTGGGGCTTACATACATATGTTAATATTTTTTGCTCGCCTAATAAGCAATTTAATAGAGCAGAGTCAAAGGTCTCAGTCACCAGCACTCGAATCTACATGAAAACCTGTTAGACTTAATATTATGTATTATATCTAATTTTCTAAAATGAAAATAAATATTAAATATTCCCATTACAAAATACTTTGTGCCATTCCACCGTTCCAAACAGAGGACAAACGTTCATGACGCGTCACGACGCATGTTGATATTTTGCATAGGCCTGGCAACTCTAACCTATGCGAAATAACCGACCAAATTGATTCGTCCGGTTGTTCGTGAAAGAAGGCGGAAGGTTAAACAGTATTTGTAATATATACTCGGCAAGCAATTTGAAAATTGTGAAAGTAAAAAACTACAGGAAAAATGGTACGTACACTAGAGACTCTCATACAGATTCAGGTGGGAAAAGCATGCGGTTAGAGTGAATCGCTGGAAGCGAGTAGGAGTGCGAATAAGTGTCTTCGATTCGATGAATCATATAAGCATCTCCTTTGAAATCTGTATATACATACATTCAGATAAGTGTGTATATATACCAATCATACATATATTTCCACTTTTTTTTTTGCCGATATGTACGTTGGCCATATTCGGGCATATACATGGTCATGAATGTGTGCGTATACATATATACCAAATTAGTCATTGGTAGCAGGCGGATATTACTCATTTATTGAAGTGTTTCATACTCTCGCACTCGTTAATGGTAAATTCGCGAAAGCAATCGCAGAAGAATGCTCAAAAGTGGCAGCTGGAAAAATGGAGCGATTAAAAATTAAAAAGTTGGAAAGAGAAATGCACACACACATTTCGATTTTCATGTCTATATGTATATATTTTTACACACTTGAGTGTGTGTGGGTATACCGCTTTTTTTATAATTCGATGGCTATAAATATGTACGTACGTTTGTATGTATCTGCTTAATGCTTATTTTCTCGCAGACGCAAAATGTGTGTATGTAAAACTATATTACCATACAGAAATATGTACAAAAATATATATCCAGGCATACATATTTAAGGTGTGATCGTTTCCTTGCGCCTAGCGTATGTATGTACGTACATACATATGTATGCCATCTGGTTGTGTGTGTGATGCAGACGTCTGTATGTATGATACATTCAATTTTGTCCGCATTTTCCCCCCCAAATATTATGGAAAATCGGGCATTTTCCTCTCCCTTCTTGTGGGGGAAATTGTGGGGAAAACAATCAGACTGCCCCTTCCCTCATTTTCCTTTTGACTTTTCTCGGCTTGTTCTCACCCTTAAACTTGCCGGCACTTGTGAACTTACCCTTGAACTTTTTGAGCGCCGGGAAATAAAAAACGAGAATATGAGCTGTTAATGGTGCCACGCCCACCACTCCTAGTCGAAATGGTGGCCACATGCCGCCAACTCATTTAACCGGTAAAAGTTCTGCGGTAGCAATGGCAATAAGTAGCATAAATTATTTACCTTAATGTTTGTTATTGCCGGCAATCAAAGAAATAAAATTTGCGAAGCGAAAAAGAGACGGCTATACTGTCAGCTGAAAGTGGGCAGTTATGTCTGCAGTTACTCCTCACACACACACAAAGCTACATCAGTTAAACACAGGGTGACTAGTGCATTATGTCGCATTCAAATTTCAAACAAATCACTCCTAATAAAAATTGTAAATGAAATATTCGTTGAAAAGCGATATAAGACAGCTCATACTATGAGTTACTTTCTTATTATATCTTAATCACACTATACCCAAGTTTATATTACTTGCATAAAAATTAAATATTTTGAAGTTAAATATTAAAACATTTTTTTTTCCATTTTTATGTTATAATTTCAAAGCTGTTAAATAGTAATTAAAATTGGCTGTCCTTTAAATTACGCTGTTTCAAATTTTATATTTAAATCATACATAAAATACGTAGAGCACCCTGTATAAGTATGTACATAAGTACATCTGCCGTTGACAGTTTGGCGCGCTTTGAATATTAAAAATATATACATCATTTTCATTTTTCTATTATCTTTTTAGGCTTCTGGTGTAACTGTGTCGGATGTCTGCAAGACTACATACGAGGAAATAAAGAAGGACAAAAAACATCGCTATGTTATTTTCTACATTCGCGATGAGAAGCAGATTGATGTGGAGACTGTGGCAGATCGCAACGCCGAATACGATCAGTTTCTAGAAGATATCCAGAAATGCGGTCCTGGAGAGTGCCGGTAAGTTGTGAATAACTAAAAGGAGGGGGTCTGGAAATCCCTACCTTACTTGTATTCCAGTCTAATCGATACTAACTTCAACATTTAACTACTTTTCCCAGGTACGGATTGTTCGACTTTGAATACATGCACCAATGCCAAGGCACCTCTGAGAGTTCAAAGAAGCAAAAGCTGTTCCTTATGTCATGGTGTCCCGATACTGCCAAGGTATGTTTATCACCCCGAGACAAGCAAATCTAGGAACTAATCCAATCCTACATATTCCCCCCACAGGTCAAGAAGAAGATGTTGTACTCTAGCTCCTTCGATGCTCTCAAGAAGTCGCTGGTGGGAGTGCAAAAGTACATACAAGCCACTGATCTTTCCGAAGCCTCCCGGGAAGCCGTCGAGGAGAAACTCCGGGCCACCGACCGCCAATAAACTGTACGAGCACTGTGCATTGCATTTAACAAACAAGGCATGCATGAAACAGCGATGGAAACACGTATCCTGTTGAGATCGCCAATTTGTATGAGAATTTTCTACATAATTTGTATTTTCAGTAGAAATAAAGAATGAAATATTTAACTTGATCAAGTCGCATTTCAACATTTCCAAGTGTGGTAAAAATCTCGTACCGCTGGATACACTTTATTATTAAGACCTAAGATTACAATATACATAAGATAACTAAACTGTAAACCGAACATTTAATAGCCATGCTGAATCACTAGTGTCTGGAGAACCTTTCGAATCTGGTGGCCAGTGTTCAGGCAAGACTTCAAACCTAGCGAAAAGGCCACCGACAGGATGTCTATTGCATGTTCCTGCAGAAGCACCGACATCTCCGGGAGATTGTCGATTGCTGTCGCCGCCACCGAGGAGTTTTCGTCCCGTAGGCATTGAATGTAGGCGTTGAGGGTACACAGATTGATGTCCGAGTTGCCGGGATTGTGCTTGAGATGCCTGATCAGGATGATGAAGGCGATGGACCGGATCTGAGCACTCGGCGAGAAGATCAGATTGAGCAGTCGTTCGAACAGCTCATTGATAAACACAAATCTCTTGGAAGTGAGGCACTCCAGCTCCTGCATGGGACCCAACACGACGTCCTCAGTGTTCGCCTGCTTTATGATCTTGACCAGGTCGAGAAAGTGTGGTGATATGTCCGAGTAGTTCGATCGGCTGTAGGAGCCAAGGGTAAGCACCGACAAAGGTCCCCTGCTGCCGCCCACGTCGATGGGAGTGGACGGGTTTCCCTCGGCTGGCTCCTCTGTCACTACGGGTTTGCTGACCGATGGCTTCACCTCAAAGTGCTCATCCAGATCGTACTCGTACTTCACCTCCTCGTCGTCTAATTCGGTGGCCGAGTGTGACTTGTGCTGCAGCAGGGCGACTGCCTGGACAAGAACCTGCAGCTTGCCCAGCGAGGTGTACTTGGCAGCCAGCTCCTTGAGGATACCCACGTACTGCTCGATGAAGAGAAGGGCACTCGAGGGATTGTAATTTATGTAGGCCTGCAGCATCTGTACAAACTTATTTAGCATTTGGCAGGCCTCCTTCACCGAGCTGTGGTGCTTGAAGAAATTGAAGTAGCAAGACAGCGTGTTCTGGATCTCGTTCTTGTACGCGTCCTCGAAGATGGTTGGTTGCAGCAGCTCCAGCGTCCTCAGGATCTGGACAAATCGGTGGAAGTGGTGCTCCTCCCGCAGAGCCTTCATGCTGAGTTGGGCCCGGCCCTGCATAATCGACGACAGAACGCTCAATTGGCGAAGGAAGAGCAACGGATGCGAGGCAGCTAGCTTGCGCAGGAGCAACTCGGTGTCCGTTGACAGGGTTTCAAAATCCTTTTTGCCCACCAGGCTTCCCAAGCAGGTGATTAGGTTATTGGATACCTTGTCGGCCTGGCAGCCTTTTAAACTTTGTAATTTGTAGGCCTGTTCACCGGTTTTGCTCGGTTTCAGGAACTTGACGCGTGGGTACATGATGTACATCTGCTGCAGAACCTGCAGTTTCAAATAGTCTGAAACGGCACTCTTCTCCACGTGTTCCATCACCAGGACCATGAGATCTCTTCGCTTATCTGTCAGTTTGAACAACAGGTTCATTCGCGAGCAGAGCTTGAAATCGTAGTTTCTGCTATCCACCTTGACCTCGGAAAGGCCTTCGTGCAGAATAAAGTGGGCAAACGGTTCCAGTTCCGAGGTCTTAAGTAGAAAGAAGGCATCTGGCCGTACGTTCTTCGACATGTACTTCTCGCGGCCCTTCCACAGCTTTGGATTTGTAGTTAGCGCCTCGAAATAATTAAGAACTGTGGCGTAGTCGTAGTCTTCATGGAAATTCTTGAACAAGTACTCGGCAATCCTTTCGATCGTATCCCAGTTGGTTTGGTGATTAATCAACGACAGCAGATAGAACCTAAACTCGCTGCAGGACTTCGAGAAGAGGAATCGCTCCTTTAACAGCTGCGTGGAAACAATCTCAGGATCCACTTCAGAAAGCCAGTCGATGAAGAGTCCGTTCTGGAATAGCTGATCGCTCTTGCTTTTGGCCACAGTCTTTTGGTCCTTGGTCTGATCGAAGCTTTTGATGATGCCCCTGACGATCCGCTTTCGTGCCATCAATGTAGTGTTCGCCTTAAACTGCTTCACATAAATCTCTCG